GGCCTGATGGGCCACTTGGCTCGCATGCAGACTTCACCTTTACCTTACTCTTTCAGTAGATGCTTCATGCTATTGCAACCTAAACTGAGTGTCAGCCTGATGGACCATTGGCCTCAAATGCACGCCCATGAAATAAACTCCAATGTCGAAAACCCACCTCTATCTGAGAATCCTTCGCGAGTTTCATGGCAGTTTCATAGAACCCAGATCTAAGACAATGATCCACTAGCATTCGATCCAACCGTTTCTTTTTCCACAAGACAACAGCACTCTTCCGTTCATCTGCATGTTCTTTAATGTGGTCAAGACGTGCACGACAGTGTCTTAAGCAAACTTCTTCTTGGGAAAGGCATTCTTCTGACTGAAAAGGTGTGAACAGACCACTTTAAGATAATCAATTAATTACATGCCAATTGATTTTTCAGATAATTCTGAACTTTTTCATGCATTATGAAATGTTCTCCAGGATTCCTTGTTGTTTTGTAGTAACTCAAAAATACATTTAAAATAATAGTAATAGCAATTTAATAAAGCACAAGTTTAAAAATTTTCTTGATACAATGTACAAGTACATGTACTGTTACAAATTAAGAATACATGTATATTCACCTTTCTTTTTAATGATTGCAATTTTTGCACTACACCATCCAAGAAGCCAGTGATCTCTCCCACTTTAACAGGTACACTGCCAAGGCTGCTGGTTAAATCATTTGTTGCACTTACAACAAGCGACACTTCCCTGTCAATCACTTTCTGGGCTGCTCGGAACTTTTTGTTGAGCATCTCATAAGGAACCTGTATTCAGTAAAATTAATAATAATGCAATTTCACCTCATAATTATCTTTACATATGTTACAATCTTTGAATATTTTGACTCAGATTGTAAGGAGGAACCTTGGCAGTTTGTCTGTCCTTCGCAGTGGTCATTTGAATCATATCCCAGTGCTTCTGCCCACCAATGGCTTCTTAAACCTGAACTGAGTTCCTTACCTTTTATTTGAGCACAACTATTTTCACCAAAAAAGTTAACAGTTCCCGTTTACCTTAATTGCTAGAACGATCAAACAATCAATCAATCATTTAGCCACCGTACATGCATCGTTTACGACTAGTGAGCTAAATGCTCATTCAAAATACTGTATGTATGTGCAGTTAAAAACGAAAATAACAAACTGACTCAATTCAATCCTTACTCTTGGGAACCTGTTGTACTATCTTTTAGAAAACAGCCCTAACAAAATATCTGTGCTGATTGGTTAGAAATCATGTTTCTATAACTCGATAGAAACACAGAACTAGCATGAGCTGTTGACGTAATGATGGTGCAAGCAAAGAGAATTTACATTTTGATAATCAAAGTTAACAAGTTGTTTTACTTTTTTCGCTGCAGTGTTTTCTAAAAGAAATAGAAAACATGTTCTCTGTGTTTCTATAACTCTCTGTGTTTCTATCTAGTTATACACACACACTGTAGAAACACTCGTGAAAGTTTGGAAGAACTCAAAAAAGCTGTGGAAACACTCGCCTGCAGGTCGTGTTGCCACAGCATTTCTAGTTCTCCCAAACTTCCACTTGTGTTTCTATTAAACAATAATATTAGATTATGAGCTCAAGATTTCTATCACATGATGGTTGACAAGGCTGCAGCCCAAGTCAACTATCAGGGATAGAAATCGAGAGCGAATAATCTAATTATTTTAGTATAAATCTACTAGTCGTTCAAAACTTAATCTAATTCCTCTTCACAGAAACTTCAAAAACACCAAGAAGCGGCCTTCATTTTGTTAACAAGGGCACAAAGCTACGCTACTCACTATCTATCACAGAATAGATAGTGAGTAGCGTAGCCAATCAGAGAACAGCATTTGTGATAGAATGCTAGTAGATTTATACTAAAACTCGATAGAAACACGGTACATGTTTTCTATTTCTTATAATAAATAATATTATTTTTTTGGGAGAAATTTTCCAATCAGATGTTTCCATGTGTGGGGTGTTTCAAATTTAAAAGGCAACATCTTTAAGATCAGTTTGACATTCCTGATGCTCAGGCCATAAAAGAGACACCTCTTTTGCTACATGTAGGTGTAGTCAAGAAATACTGGTGTGACTCGCTGAAGAATACATTTAGGCAAAGCAGTTGTTGGCTAAACTATACTAAGGAATGTGGTTTGGGCTTAATCAGCAATTAGTAGGAAGAAACATTGCATAGTGACCAATCAATGGCTGTGAAGGAGTACTTCACACTAGCATCTTGTATAATCAGTGTACTTTTTAAAGAGGGGGACATGGGGGGTGGGGACTGAACACAGCAACATCACAAAAAAAAAAGATAATAATAATAATTAACAAACACTGCATAACCCTAAGTAAAGACAAGGAAATCCTGTCACCCCAACATATATTTTTAGCCCCATGATTTGAACGCATACACTTGACATAATACTTTCATACCTCAACAATTTTCCAAAAAAATAAACACATTGTAAAGCTTGTTATTGCCTTCATGACGATACTGCTGATGCCTGTATATTGTAAATTTTTTCTTGTACTTACAACAGGTACATGTACATTTTGTTTTTATGAAGTTCCAAGAACATGACTGAGAAGTTGACCTGAAAAGCTATTACTCCAAACTAATAACAAATGGTTTCCAGCAAGATACATGTACGTGTCTGATCCTGACACAAACTAGCATTTTCACAAAAATAAACTACTTAGTTCAGTTTCTTTGAACTTTGGTCTGAGAAAGGTCAAACAAGAAACCACAGCACCGCCGATAATTTCATTTTACTGTACACCGTAGGGTGATAAACACAAACATAGCACACAGTAGGGCTTGAGACCACCACAACAACACAAGATGCCATTTTATCACTGCATCACCGCATCAGAAAGTAATCAACACAGCAAAGCCCCATGTCCCCCTCATTAAATATAATGTAAGACTGTATTGCCCTTACTTTAAACCTGTGGCTGTGTGACATCTTTGATATACACAAGTATAAACCAAGTCAGAGTCTGCCTTAGAAGTTTACATGAAATAGAATGCTGTAATTGCTCCCCACCTCAGTTCCATGTGTACACATTTAACATATTTTCTGGGTTTTTCAGTAACATCTTTTATATCAACTGGTCAAAGATAGGCTACAGGCATGTACATAACAAAGTAAGAACACTTCAAAATGAAGGATGTGTATCCTGACGTCACAAAATGCAAGTGTTATTGCATTTATTTATAGCTCCTTCAATGTTATTTATAATTATGCCTCCACAGACGGAGGGCATTCAATATATGACTGAATATGTTCAGCGGGCGTACGATTAAAACGACTTCAAGGTAAGATATTTTAAAAAAGGAAGTAGCAGATTTGTGTTCAGAAGGTGTTAAACACAAACTTAAACTTAACGCTTACAACCGATATGCGTTAAACACTTGAGGTGAGGTCTTCCACACGGCACCGACATTTTGCATATCGTCCTGGCATCGAACATGTACATGTCGCTCGACTGAAATCCGGCACAACTTATTCTTTTATTAGCTGAAATATTACTGCAGTTTACTTACCTTCATGGTAGAATACTCTAGCGCCTTTATATCGGCCATATTTACAAGGTAAACGCGCTCAAACAACGCGAAATTTTGTTTCAACAACTGGACCGTTTGGTGGAGAAAAATATCGCTCAGCGGTATCTTATGAAAACTTATGTTCGTGCACATCATTACTAGTCCCTCCTCGGACAAACCTCGATAAAAATTAACGCGGGACGGGAGGCAAGGGTAGCCTGCGAACGTAGACGTATTTCCGGCTGACGAGCGACAGCCGGAAATACGTCTGCGTAGAGGAAAAAGCTGGTTGAACTGGAAAATAAAAACTGTCTCTTTTCAGTTTTCCTATTTTGTAATATGTTTTTATGTGCAGTTTTCTTTGCGTGTGTATTTAATTCAACGTCTGCTATGTTGGTGTTGTTCTTCTTTGTCTTCCTTTTTTCACAAGAGAGCCCAAAAAATATGATTGTAATCTTTGTTGTCTTTATTCATTAAAATTTGTAATAAAAGAGCTTCCCGAATTTTGCGACGCATACAAAAAGGCAAGTTATATGGAGAGTCTATAACCAGTTTACTCAAACCAGTCACACAACCGCCGATTTACGTAAGAATGTTTATTTGGTGTCCGATGACATTCCTCAAGAACCGGTGGGAACAGTGAGCCGACAGTTTTGGGAATAAAATTTTGGGCGAGACGTTCGTACGTAGCGCTGAAGCAACTACGCTTTAAATACATTCTGGCCAACAATGGAAGCAGTATCTCTCGAGATGCGTCCACTAGTTCACGAAGATCTTGAAAGGAAAGACATGACTGAAACGAGATTGTACATGCAAGAACTTCCAAGCCGACTTGCACGACATTCCGCATCTACAGTGATGAGGAATCAGGCTATCGTTCGACGGAAAAGCGTTGGAAATACAGTTAAATGCTCGGGAGCTTTGAGAAGAGTGAAAAGAGATGAGCCCGGAACATTGACTGCGGAGTGGGGAAGCGACACGACCGATTCGGGACTCTCTCTGTCCGGGGAAGTTCTAGAGACGGTGAATTTTAAAGCTGTTCCCCTGCCGATGTCTCTCAGGCGCCGGTTTAAAGATTCCCTACGAGCAAGAGCCCCGCGCAGAGTTTCAAAATGGGAAGTTTTCCGAATGAGGGTGGTAATGGGATGGAGGCGCTTCACAGGCACTGTCAAGGAATGGCTTTATGCGCTTGAGCCATGGCGTAGGCACCTCAAAGACATCGAGGGGCAGTTTGGAAGCGGCGTTGTCTCGTATTTCGTCTTCCTTCGCTGGCTCATGCTTCTCAATTTATTTGTGTTTCTAATCGAGTTCGGCTTTGTTTCCTTACCAACGCTGGTTATCTGTGCAGCCACGCGCCAGGGCGTCACGGACGGTCAAGCAAACCCCACAAGTAACGCAACAAGCTGTAAGTATGATTTTGCTTACATCGATGCCAACGAGACAGACAAAGGTGTTCTTACAATAGTGCTGAACTTCTTTACCGGCCAGGGTTGGATCAGTAACACGATTATGTTCTACAGCAGCTACCCCTCGGACGTGATCATATCTCAGGAGGGCGTAAGATACCTCTTACCTTTAGCTTACCTGTTAACAGGCGGAGCTTATCTCCTCTTCTGTCTCCTGGCAATGATACGAAGTGCCTCTAGCGGTTTTAGACAGGGATACATCGATAGTGAGGGAGTATTCAATTCTTTCTGCAATCGGATCTTTTCCGCCTGGGACTACTGCATTTGCGATCGCAGCGCTGCGTTACACAAGAACCAAATTATCGCGCAAGATATTCGCTTCGAACTGGAAGAGGAAGCTAGATTAAGACGCATTCAAAACAGGACAAAGAAACAGAAAGCGGTTCTCTATGGCACGCGTATCGCCATCAATCTGTTCATAGTGCCAGCACTTTGGTATGTGTCGTTTGTCCTTGTTTTCGGCGTCATTATTGGCAATAAAGTTACCGAACAAGGACGAAACCAGTTTGAGCAGATGCTGATAAGGTCTTCACTGTCTCTCGCAGTCACAATCCCGAATCTCGTTCTGCCTCCGTTGTTCGAGTTCTTGTCCGTCTTCGAAGACTGGAGTCCCAAGTTTGAGCTGGGTCTCAACCTTTTGCGGCGAATCTTTGTCAAGTTACCTTCCATAGCAATGCTGATGATTCTCCTGTACAAAGACCTCGACGATCGGATTCAGGATGAATCGTCGCCGTTGTCGGCTCACTGCGAACTGTGCTGGGAAAACGAAATTGCGGCGCAGATGTACATGTTAGTGTGGGTGGATTTCTTCGTGGTGCTTCTAATCACCCTTGGTTTGGAAACGCTCAGAAAGCTTCTTTACAAACACTGCAGTTGTTGCAAACGAATTGGCATGACGCAGTTTGACATTTCCCGCAATGTCATCGACCTCGCTTACGGGCAGTGCTTGATTCTCATCGGTGCGTTTTTCAGCCCCATCCTCCCAGCTATTGGCGTCCTGAAACTGATCGTGTTCTTCTACATCAAAAAACTGAGCCTGTTCCACAACAACCGTCTTCCAGACAAACCGTTCCAAGGCGCAAAGCTCAACTCCATTTTCACGCTTCTCTTGCTAGTCACGTTTTTCATGTGCATCGGTCTTGTCGGCTGGGGCGTGACCAGAGTACCCACATCGTATTGCGGTCCGTTCAAAAACACGGAGTGCAGCGCGAGTAAATTCATCATCGACGAATTATCCTTGGTCGTTTCCACTTGGCCCACGTGGATACACGCGGTGTTGCAGTTCATGCGTACAGCTGCGTTCCTCCTTCCCGCAATGATCTTGGTGTTTAGTTTGATGTATTATTACCGTTCTATGACGCGCGAGCATCGCCGCGTAATTAACACGCTGAAGGAGCACCTTATTTTCGAGGGAAAATACAAAAAGGTGCTTCTCTCGCAGCTGGTATTCCATCGTGAGGAGAAAATTGAACCGCAGAAAACTGAAAGATATAACGAAGAAGACATTTTGCTGCTATCTCTGTCCGCTTAATACTTGTTTTATTGCACTAGGTTTGTAAACAGAGCGACTTTTTCAATGTGAATCGGGTACACTCAACAGTATTATCAAATCGAGTAAAGATATTGTTTCCCGACTCTGTAGTAGACATAATAAGACAAGAGATACCAAAGCAAAGTCAACGTTTTTTTAGCGTCCCCAACGCTCAGTCGAGACCGTGGATGTGAATACAGGGATGTTTCGGCACGTGACTTAGTCCACCCAAGTTCACGTGACAAATAGATTCCCGCCATATTTACTCGAGAAAGACGCTGTGATAGCGTCGAAAGTTGTGATTGTTAGAAACATTGACTCTGCTTCGGTATCTTGTTTCTTATTAGTATTACTGAACTAGGATGCGACCACGATACACGCGATCCCGTGGCTTAACGTCGTGTTAGCGATCGATCGAGACGCCTTGGTAAAACACTCATCCTGCACAATCCGGTCAATATTGCTGTGTCCAAGATAGCTCACCCACACTTTGCCTGTGAGTTTTTATCGTTAATCTTGGTATTCTTTAGATGCTAGTGCGCGTTTTGAACGCATTTCTTAGCGCGTAGAAAATGTGCTTGGGTAAATAAATTGACGGGTTGATTAATTGATTGATTGATTGATTGATTGATTGATTGATTAATTGATTGATTGATTGACTGATTGATTGACATCAATTCACTACTAGGCTTTTGCAGCAGATAGTCCCGTAAGACAACATCCATTAAGTGTTACTGCAAGCTACATCCAGAAAAATACAAAACGAAGGAAGTAAACGTGATAATCTTCTCGGTTTTTCAGTTCCGCATGGCGGACTGGTACTGTGTACCATGAGACCATTTGTCCATGGGCACGGTGTTTAATGTCATTTCGAATTCATCAGTCCCGTTGGTTCCCCTCGCTTGCTTCTTGACAAAAGTTTCCAACTAATGCTCATATTACAGGCTAATTTCAAACCCAAGAGGGTAGTTGTTATCAATAAAACTATATATATATATTTTTTTGATAATCGATGGATCGGTCAGTAGGGTATGATAGGCGCACGGGCTGGAGGATACTTCCCAGTCTCGCAAACTTTGAAAATTTTTGGACAAAATGCTTCTGCTTCGGGCAACAGTACCTGGGATAAATCATTCCAAGAGGTTTCAAGGCGTAAGAATTGCGAACCTTTTTTGCTTTCCCAGCAATTTGAATGCATTTGTATCCCGATTTCAGCAATCGCGCATTCGGGCATTGTGTAGAGTGTTCGGGCAAGAAGGTAACCCTCCTTCCCCCACTCCATGTCCGAAGGTGTCCGTACGCCTGTTGGGGTTATGGTATAAGGTTTACAGAGCTCGCTCTTGGTTCTTATCGACTTTGACAGGTGGCGGAAAACGAAAACATGTGCCAGCTAACAGCTAGTCATCTAATGATTTAACAATTGGATATTTCGCAAAACCGTCCGTTGTACCGTCTTCCTTGTGTTGTTGTTGTTGTTTTGTTTTAATTATTGTATGAACGAGAACAATTTTTTTACATTTTATAGTCTTACTTGTTGTCCCTTCAAGGGTCTATTTTAATAAACGTTGGTGACAACTTTCACCTCGATGCTGCTTGCTTCGTCTCTCCACTCTAGACCATATTTAACAAGTTTTAGCACCTTTTTGTTTTTTTTTCAGTTTCAGCACTTGCACCTACAGTAGACTATTGAGCAGACAATCTTTTTTGGTTTCCTAAATTATCATAAAGACAAACTCAGTTTTCGCAAAATAATATGGCTCAGGAATCGAACTTTATGTACTAAAGCACGTTTGCACGCTTTCTAACCGCCACAAATGGCTAAAAAAAATGGTCTACTAACAAAACTGAACCGCGTTGACCAAACGGTTGCTTTACCTGTCTAACGATTAATTCAACTACTGGATTAGTCGTCGAGAATCTTATAAACACGTACAGCAAAGGATAACTCTCAGGCAACTATCCGTCCATGCCACGTCACCATATTTTACAATTATAATGAAAGGCTTGACCTGCATCTATAGGCACGACCCAAGCAAAACGCGAGCAAAATAGGCCGACGCAATAATGTGCTGATCATTTGTAACGTTTGCAAAGATTTAGGCTCATCATCGACACATTATTGCGACTGCGTGTGCTGATTGTGCTTGTGCTTGAGAAGTTCGTGTAAACCAGCCCCTCGCTAAACTCATTGGTCCTATGAGATACAGAGTATTGAAACTCTATCTCAGGAAAAGTTTTCGTAACCATTTGAGAAAGTTTTTATAAATTTCCCATATTAACTAAATCGTATAATTCTCCAGAGCTGATTGATAACAATGATACATAAATTTCTTCTGAAAATTATTCCTGTGCCTGACCGAGTGCACAATGTGAGACCAAAATGGTTCAAATCTATCATACCAGCTTAACAAGCAAAAGCGTCTCAAAATAGCATTCCCATCGGCTCGCACATGTGTACGGACATTCCGGCTCCTCCGTTAACCCTAAACAGAGTGACGAGGCAGTTTTCGGAATACGTAGGAAAGCAGAAACTCTTATTCACGCAGTCCTAATATAAATTCCAAGACTGGTCCATTATCTCAAGACAGATTGTTAACAGTGCTCTTAAAGTAAAGGGCGTGGCTGACGAGTAAAGGACGGTCTTTTTATATAGCCCCCGACCGACAAATGATCCGGGTTGTTACGAGTATCGTTGTAGAGTAGGGTTGTTTCCAGACAGAACTCAGGATCGCCGGTAGCAGCAACAAACTAATTTATTTCCGTAAGATAACTTCGCGAATTTACAGCACTAAGCTTCTTCAAATTTGAATCAATCTCTCTCACAGAAGAAACGCTCGTTCTAATATACATGAGGTTTAAAGTTCTAGAAACTTCTATTTGGAACTAAATTAAGTAGTTTGACACAGTTTCTAATCTGAGTAATGACATAAGGATTAGAATGTTCTGGAATGTTC